GTCGTTGGCTAGTCTTTTGTGTGCAGTGATTACCTGTGTTTGTGACTGGGTAGAGTTTATTAACCTTTTTGCAGGCTGTATTTTTCAGTGTTGGGAGCCAAGCTTTGCTGATTTTTACACTTGTTTTTTGTTGAAGCTGTGCTGGTGTTTGTGGATTTCCATGGCTTCCCTGTGTAGTCTGCCATAACGATTGCTGATGTTGTCCAGTATTTGTGTGTTTTGAAATAGGATTTCATGCCCAGCTTGGTTTAGGGCATGTTCAACTAATGCTTTTTTTTTTTTTTGGTTGTTTTAGTCTGCAGCGTCTTTCATGGTCTTTGATTCTGGTGTGGATGCTGTGTTTTGTGGTCGCGATATATACCTGTCCACAAATGCAAGGTATCCGGTATACTCCTGTAGTGTTGAGGGGTTCACTTTTGTCCTTTGCTGACTGTAACATATATTGTATTTTTGTGGTGGGACTGTAGGTCGTGTTTTTTCAACAGTTCCCCATGCGGTCTGTAACCCCTTTGATGTATGGCAGAAATACTTTATTTGGGGGGGCTGTTTTTCTTCTTCAGTCCAATGTTGTCTTCTCTGTTTGATGGCTCTTTTGATTTCATTCTTCTAAGAGCCATTTGCCTGTAGGGCCCAATTCAGGTGGTTTGGTTTGGTGCCGAGAAATTGAGCCTTCACAGTTCCAAATTGCACAGTCTACGAGTGTTTTGATTATGTCTCTTTTTTGTTGTGGGCGGTGGTTAGAGTCTTTGTGTAGGTACCAGTCTGTGTGGGTGGGGTTTCTGTAGCCCTTGTGTCCCAATAGGAGGTCAGGTTTGCATATGCCCATGATATCTAAGAAAGGGAGTTGGCCCTTTCCATGGTGAGTTCTATATTTGGGTGGATGCTATTGAGATGGTTTAGAAATTCTTCCATCTGAAGATGCTGGCCACAGAGACTGACAAAATGTTAGGAATACCCTCCCGAATCCAAACAGCCCGAAAATTCCACAACAACCATAATACTGATAGTGTTTCCTAACTAAGTTGAATGGCTAAACTGAAGAACTAGAAGGGTTAAGAAAGTGAAAGCTATGATGGAACAACATGACTTTGATTATCTGCAAAACCCAAGACTTTGTATTAGAATGTTCAGACCTGTTCTTTAATTGTCTTTGATGCTACTATCTACTCTTTGGTTGAGTATCTACTCTGTTGACAAAGGGCCAAGAGAACAGAACAATGGGTAAAATAAGATGTTCATTCTGAACAAATACTTGGATTTGTGTGAGAGAAGGATCATCCCACAGTTAGGTTCTCTGATAATTAACAGGCAGCTATTGAATTGTTTTAATTTTTCTGCATAGTCACAGAAATTAAAAAAGATGAGTAAGACAGAAGTAACTGTTGACCCATTTTTGTTGGTTCCAGCAAATGTTACTCTGCCTCTGATTAGTTCCACCACATTTAACAAGATCTGAAGCCCTATAGAAATATGTGGGAATCAATGTGTGTAAAACACATTCAGGCACAATATACAGTTAAGCTCCAGTTTTCCCGCATGAATAATAGCTTGCAGTCTGGCCTGCACCTGGACACCAGCGAAACATGCTTATTCATATTCACAGCTCCCTCCCCTTCTGAACCTGCAAACAGGATTCAGTTGAAATGAAAACATTTATAGATTCTGGTAGATGACAATATATTTATTTATGGCTTAAAAGGCATGTTGTGTGGCACTGAGTATTATTTTGAATGGAAATAGACATGGGAATATGTTTAATGTTTTAAATTATATGCAGTCACAGTTCAAGATTATATGTTTTTGCAATTATATGTTGCATTTGTGAGGGATAGACATTGGTGGTAGAAGTTATGGATTATACGCATATTCAGTTTGAGGTGATTATTTTGTGACAAGCAGTGGTTTTGATATCTGCCTTGTGCAGAGCAGAACTGTTTGGAAGTCTCACTAATAATGTATTATGCCTGGTCTGGCTTGGTATAAAAATGCTTTTGATGGCATTGTGTTATGTAGCGTAGTAGAATTTCAACAGCTGATAACATTAAGTGTCTGACAACTTTGAGACCAGGAAGTATATTGTGGCAGTTAAAAATATCTTTATTGTGATATGTGGCAGTAGTCACTATCTCTCAGACAACATCTGTACTGCAGTGAATAAGCAGAACTGTGACACACAAAGTCTTTTAAGGACTGTTTCTAGAGAGTAGTTGTACTAAGCTGTTGTTGGCAAAAACAAGAGAGTCTTGTGACACCTTTAAGACAAGCAGTTTTATTATGTTCTGAGCTTTGCAGATACACTCTCACTTCACCAGATGCTTGAAGAGGTATCCTGTAAGTCACCATGTTGTCCTTTAAATCAGCTATTTTCAGTGGGGACCATATGGTCTTCTGGGGGCCCACAAACTGATAATATTTCTAATCTATTTTTCTATTCCCCTATTCATGTTGTATCCTTGTTTCACAGAGAGCCTGGAACCCGAGAAGAGCTCTTAAAAGGGCCATGGCAAAAAAAGAGAGTTGAGAATGGCTGCTTTAAAATATAGGAATGGCTGGGGATGAGGTGAGGGATTGTAATAAGTGCTATCAGAGGAGTTGAATCGCAGTAGAGTGTTTTAATTGCCTTGCTAACAGTGGCAATTCACAAAGCGGTTGTCAGGGATGTCTGATATCTTTGCATTGGTGAGTTTATCAAGTATATTTTGATTTAAAACCTTCAGGTATAATTTTGTTTGCTTCTTCTGCTTGTGTAGCAGTTCATTGCGCAAGCAGTTGGACAGTTTCTTAGCTTGTGCAAGGAGATACAGTATTGAGGAATACCTTCCTCTGCGAGCTCAGTCAGAAACTGTCCAGAGACTTGCACAATGGACCGTTGCATGAGCTTGAACAAACAAGATTTGGCTCTTTTCCTGTTCAAATCACAGTTGCATCTCTTGATCAACTGTTGCTTCAAAGGGTCACTTGGTCATCTGTTTCTGGCATTCTTTATTCAAGGATGCCATTAGGAAATCAGTTGCTGGATGCCCTGAGAGACTAAAGTGTTGCCTCTCTGTTTTTAAATACTGCCATTTGTGGTGCCAAATTTAAAATAAAGAGTGAAGACTAACAAATGTATTAGGTTTGTTGCAACATGAGCTTTATAGGAGGTATAAAATCACAAAAATATAAATCTGTTACCTGAGTATAGTTATCCTAAAGTACATAAGTTGGGGCAAGATTTTGATCTCTTTGTTTCTAAGTCTCTCTCAGGCTTCAACTTTCTCAAAAAGAGCTCTTAAAAATGCATACTATATTAACTTACATTTTAAAAACCCTGTAAATTATACCAATCACGCCTCAAAAATGTAGGGAAAAAAAGCTCATCATCCTGGAACTCCTTGAAAGGAATCTGAAACACCCATGTTATGGACCCTGATTCTCAAAACCCAAAGCCACACTCCCAATATCTGGTTCTGCAGCCAGATACCTTAAACCACTGAACTGTCCAAGTAAAAACTTTTCTGCTCAACTATTCTTGGTGCAATTGGCTGCTGTGGAAGGGGCTTTTAAGAGGACAGGGTATACTTTCTATTTTTCCTTTTTTTTCTGGTATGCTTCAGAATCAATTTAATTCAGTGGCTGTTTTAATTTGTCAATGACTAGTTACATTTTAATATTAAAACTGGCTAAAATCTGGTATTGAAACTTAGATTGTGTAAGGTTGCTGATGTCAGTAGTTCTGGTGGTTTTTCAGACATTAAAAATTTCTGATCCCTGGTTTGCAGATATAATAGTTGGCATGGGGTATAATAATATAAATTGTACACATCCCTTTTATCGAGAGGAAGCCTATGGGGGCCATGTGACAAGGGAAATCTTTAATTTCAAGAAATCACTACTACATGTCTGTATTGGTATAAAGAAAGTACAATAAATTGTCTTGCACTCTCCAGTTAATAATGTGTAGGATTGCAGCATAACTCTTGTGCTAATTCAGTTATAACAAATTACTTATGATCATTCACAGTCTTGAATAGTTCACCCTATTTCTAAACATGCAGAGATGTTTCTTTGCTGTGGTCCCTTAACCAGGAAACATGCCTCATATTTCCCTCAATTTTGTGTATAGGGAGGAAGAAGATAAGCAAAGCTACCTATTCAGTAAATAGTATTTCTATGATGCAATGAATTCCATTGTTTGGTGTGGTCTTTAGGTAGGGACAGTTATGCTGGTAGAGGGAAAGTTGAATGTATTTCTAGATATAGGCCATTTAAATGAAGAATCATTTGAGTTGCTGCAAAAGTGACTTGAACTGGAACATTTTAATTGCAGAGACTGAGGAGGCTGTCAACGAAGTATAGAACAGAAAAGATCTACCCTACGGTCACAGGAGAAAAAGAAGAAAATGTGAAAAAAAACAGATACAAAGATATACTGCCATGTAAGTTTGTTTCTTCTTTTTAATAGACACGTTAATATTATTTATTAAGGTACATTCTTAGTTAACTTTTACAGTCTCTTGAACAGGTAAATTAGCTGGTAATTATTTGTTGAAAGGGGTATTTTAAAGATGGTTCATCTGCCTAAGTGAACATTCTTTTTTTGTGCGTCACCCTCCCAGTTTCTATTTAAAAACTATTTCCAAGGCTAAAAATCTGTTGAAGACTTTGACCCCAAACCAGCATTGCAAAGCAAAAATCACAGGTAATACAGTGTTTCTTGCAAAACACAATTCTTGTTGCTGGTTGTTCTAAACAGTCTGTGTCCGTGATGCAGCATGGTATTTGTTGTGTTACAAATTATGAGATTTTTTGGCAAATGTTTTTGTGAAAGTCTTGGTTGTTAATTGATCATCTGACTTTTGACAGTGAGTTTAATTGGAAATCTGTCTTCTGCATGAAGCTCTTTTTTTACACAAGTAGAAGAGGTCTAATAGGCCAAGATTAGGTTTACAATAACACGTTACGCTGTAACATAAGAATAATTGAAGACTTGACTACAGCTCCAAAACAGAATGATAACCTGAAGTTCTTTTTAATAAATGACACTAACCAGATATGACAATTAGAACCTCACAGAACAGAACCATTGACAATGGACTTTTTGATTGCGATCAGTGTGAAGCTTTATATATAACAGTGAACACTCATTGATCAGCAGCTTATAAATGCAAATTTTAAATCAACAAAAATTAAATATGGTTACCCTTATGATTCAGATATTTTCATATATCAGAGCAGCATGTTATCAGTATAATGACTTACCTATTTTAAAAAGCTCAAAGATCAATGCTCTACAGTTTTTACAATTTATCCTTGTACACACAAATCTCTCTTGTGTAAGAAGATTGTGTGTAAAATCATTCAGTGCTATGTAGAATTGAGTGTTGAGTTAATTTTGTATTCAGACACTATTCCAGGTAAAAAAGGGCCTAGGTCTCTTTGAGTGGGGAGGGTTTCTTGGATTAATCTGTTGCTTCAGCTACCACACTTTGCCTAACTTTGTGGTGGTGATGTATTAGGAGGGCAATTTGTCAAAATTCAGGCAGAAGCACCACTAAATGGTTTATAGAATTGTGCAGTTTTATGGAACATACCTGTTAGTATGGGAAGTAATTCTTCCTACTATTATTATATTTTAGTTGACCACAGTAGAGTTAAGCTGACTTTAAAAACTCCTCCACAAGATTCAGACTACATCAATGCAAATTTTATTAAGGTATGTATTGGCATAATATTTGTTTCATAATGAAATCTTTAAAATCTTACAACATTTCTTTCTAAGCAAAGTATTGACCTCAAAATGTTGTATGTGGTTGTAATGTGGCTGTATTTACCTGAATGAGAAAAAAAGAGAGTATAAGCAATTGTCACACTAGCATTCTGCAATCAAATTGACAAGACTATAGAAGAGAATGCCTCTAATTATGGTAATATACAATTTATAACAATGATTTGAATGTGTTGGTTAGTTTATAACAATAGTTATGTATAGTTTATAACAATGGTGATATACAATTTCTAAGAATGATTTGAATACTGGAATATATCAGTATGAATCCGAATAAGGAATTCATTAGCAGAAGTCAAATAAATTAAAATTACAATTATCCACTATATTGAAATCTCTTAAAACTAGTAAATTCACTGAAATAGAGAACATCTCTGAAGTAAAGTCCACATGAAATGTAGAATAGTTCATGTTTTCCAAATAGATGACACTTGAATATTGTGATATCATTTTTAAAGTATAAGATAAAGCCGTTAAGATATGGTATATAAGGTCGGTACTTAACTAATTCTACACATGCCTTACCAGAACTGGCCACTAAAAGCAAAAGCAAAGTGTGCTGCTTATATACCGCCCCATATCACTTAAAGGGTACTCTGGGCTGTTTACAAGTTAATTATGCAGGCTACACATTGCTTAGAGATGTGGTGGCGCTGCGGGTTAAACCGCAGAAGATTCTGTGCTGCAAGGTCAGAAGACCAGCAGTCGTAAGATCGAATCCACGTAACGGAGTGAGCTCCCGTTGCTTGTCCCAGCTCCTGCCAACCTAGCAGTTTGAAAGCATGTAAACATTCAGGTAGATAAATAGGTATGACCTTGGTGGGAAGGTAACGACGTTCCATGTTTAGTCGCGCTGGCCATGTGACCACGGAAACTGCCTTTGGCCAAACGCTGGCTCTATGACTTGGAAACAAGGATGAGCACCACGCCCTAGAGTTGGACATGACTGGACTAAATGTCAAGGGGAACCTTTACCTTTACCTAGACATTGCTTCCCCCCGCGAGCTGGGTACTCATTTTACCAGCCTCAGAAGGACGAAGTCTTGAGTCAGCGTTGAACTGGCTGCCCTGGGATTGAACTCCAGGTCTTGAGCACAGTTTTGGCTGCAGTACAGCAGTTTAAGCACTGTGTCATAAATCTCCTAGAGGAGCGGTCCCCAACCTTTTTGGGATCACAGACCAGTTGAGAGGGTGGGCTCCGTGTGTGGGGAGGCGGGGGCACATATGTGCGAGTGTGACGCCCCCTGTGCGAGCACGACATGCCCCTGTGCGAGCGCAACACACGGGGGCAGAGATCCGTCTCCGTGGCCCAGTTCTGGCAAGCCCACGGACCGGCATAGGGCTGTGAACTGGGGGTTGGGGGCCCTGTCCTATATGGTGCCAGAGACCATGCTAGGTATTGTTCACTAACAAATATTCATAGCACAATCTCTGGGTAAATCTAGTGGCCAATTTTGGTAATACAAGTAAAAATAGTTTTTTCTGGATTTTTTTCTTTTAATATTTTAAATATTTTCAGATTGTGGATAAGTGAATCAATGGATACTGATCTCGTGGATAAGGAGGTCCTACTGTATTTAATAGTACTTGCTACATCAAGAAAAAACCCAGCTGCAGTAGTTTGAGTAACCTTTGACTTTGAGAACTTTATATATCCATCATCTTTTTCCTATCTCTTTTCTTCCCTATTGGCCAAACTAAGTGAGATTTGACAGGTTTCTGTAGTCTTTGAGTGAAATCCTGAAATTAAAGGACAGAAAAATCAGTGGGATGTTGGAAAAAAGCCCTGAACTGCTCCCCCCCTCCATCCAGGAAGATAAGGGGAGTAAGAAGTGACATAGGTTAGGGAAAACGTTGCATACATTTGATGTACCAAATACATGGGATTATTAAGAACAATTATGTTATTTCATCACTTGGATAATTTCAGTGAATATTTGGATATGGTTGTTAATTTGAATGCAACTGTTATACAATCTGATGCAACTGTTATACAATCTGATACAGTCTATTAGGCTTTTCCACTTTGTGAATGGACCAGAGAAACTGTTTATATTTCTCCTTGTATTGGAAAGATGTTAACATTTTATATGTATCTGTTTTGAAAATGCAGATATGCATCTATAATAGAAACAGGTCGGGTACTTTCATGTCTAAAAGCAATTTTGGAACTTCTGTAACTCTTATTACATTCAGTTGTATGTTGAAATTTTTAGGGAGTACATGGGCCAAAAGCATATGTTGCTACCCAGGGACCATTAGCGAATACAGTAATAGATTTCTGGAGGATGATATGGGAGTACAATGTTGCAGTAAGTATTTTATCTAAGAGTATTGATTTCATTCTGAGATGTGAGCATATTTCTATTGATGTTTTATAGTTTATGGCCTTGTAAACATTATGACACGTATGACCGTTGTATCGACTCCTTCAGCATACTGTTTCTGGGAGGGATGTTGGCAAAGCACTTGGAAGTGGACTTGTGCTGGCTCATGATATCTCACCTGACCAAACATTTCTTGAGAAGTTAAGTCAAATATCTTGCAAAAGTGCAGTCTGGCTGGTGAAGTCTTGAAAATAGTGGTGTTTGCGCATGGGCAAGTGTCTTGTGCTTTTTTTTTCACCAGCATCCTTCTCTGCCTTAAGGGATATGTAGATATTTCCCCTGTTTCCCCGGAAATAAGACCTAACCTGAAAATAAGCCATAGTATGATTTTTCAGGATGCTTGTAATATAAGCCCTACCTCAAAAATAAGCCCCAGTTAAGTTAAACCCCGCCCTCCACCATTGTGCAGCTTGTGCAGCAACCAGAAGAAGATGACACGACTGAAAAATAAAACATTCTCTGAAAATACAGTGGGCCCTCGACTTACGAACGGGCCTAGTTGTGAACTTTTCGGGTTACGAACCCGATGTCATCGCAAGTAGTAACCCTACTTGCGAACGTGGATCAGGTTACGAACTCAAAAGGCAGGGAAAAAGGGCAGGAAATTAAAATTTCCTGCCCTTCCTCCCTGCCTTTGGAGCTTTCAAAAGGCTTCCTCCGACATCGGAGGAAGCCTTCTGAAACATCCAAAGCCAAAACGGCAGGGAGCTTTCTCCCTGCCTTTTTGGCTTCGGAAGCAAGCTGGCCGGCCGGGGAGAAATTGGCTCCCTCCTTCCACCTGATAGTGCTCAGCCGGCACGAAGGGGACTCACCACTGGGTGGAAGGAGGGAGCCGATTTCTCTCTGGCCGGCTGACTTGCTTTTCCAAACGAGAAGCAAGCTGGTCGGCCGGGGAGAAATTGGCTCCCTCCTTCCACCCGATGGTGAGTCCCCTTTGCCCCAGCTGAGCTCAGCCCGGCGTGAAGGGGACTCAACCATCGAGATTCGGAGAGTTTTTGTACCTTTTCTGTATCCAAGGACTTTTTGTTGTACGTATTGTTGTACAGAACTTTCTATGATGTACAAGTAGATCTTGTGCAAGATCCTGCTGGGAATCACGGAACAAAACTGCTTCCTAGGTAGAACTGTTCCTTGTGCTGCACTGTATGTTTCATTTGCAGTTGCACAAATTGAAGATCACTCTGCTTGCTGCAGGGAGAATTCTGCTAATGCAAAGAAGTACCTGAAGAGTGGAAATACTCTCCAAAGTAGTCATACCTCCATTTACGGATGGCAGTGAAATAGACAGAAAAGTAGTTGGGTTTATGGCCTTTGTATTTTGTGCACAATCCTTGAACTTCTACACAAAATATAGGGGTTCTCTTTTTTTGTACACAATATGAAATTTTGTGCAAAATGCAGGTTTTATGCAGAAATTTCCATTTTAAACAATGCTTCTGCTCATGAAAAAGAGTGCTAGCCTACTGGCCGGGCGCTTAGCCACTCGCCCCCGGCCGCGTGGAGGCAGCGGAGCACCGGCAGGCTTTGGACTGGGAAGTCCTTTTTAAAAAAGCTTTTCTGTGTGGGTTTTGGAGGGTGGGTTTGGACTGGAGGGGTTATGTTTCTGTGGGTTTTTGTATGTGTGTGTGTTTTTTGCAGCCCCAACGTGGGACTTGCTCTTTTTATTTTCATTTTTGTATTTTTTTGAAATGCTGGAACGGATTAATTCCGTTCCCATGCATTTCAATGGGAAGTGGTAGGTTGACTTACGAACTTTCCGAGGTACGAACGTTCTCCCAGAACGGATTAAGTTTGTAAGTCGAGGGCCCACTGTAAGCCCTAATGTGTTTTTTGGAGCAAAAATTAATATAAGACCCTGTCTTATTTTTGGGGAAACACGGTAGATCATAGCAGGATTTGATTGTCTAATTCATTTCATCCCTTTCCCATATGAGCCCACCTTAAGTTATAGGCATTTTCATGTTTATGTCTCTTTGTCATACCCTTTCAACCGTGGTTACATTGGCTTGCTTCTGGTAGAGAGGCAAAACAAAGAGTCTGCATCCATTTCTTGCTCTGAGATCAAGTGCATCCATGCTGATGCAGAATCTGTCTTTTGTGTCAGCATACACTTGTTTCACCAAAGCAGGCTTTCCTGTTGTTGGATTCTGCAAATGTTGGTATACAATTCCCATAATCTCTATCCATTATGGCAGGTGCGAAGAATGGGAGTTGTGCTGTAATAGCATTGGAGGAATCAGGGTTGAATAGAGTTTCTTGGGGAAAGAGCAGAAATGGGCACTGTAAGTTATTGAGTTGAAACTTTAAACCACAGTCCAGGGAGAGGTTTAAGAAACAAAGATTGACTTCATTGTGCTGTGCCACTGTCCTGGTTTCCAAATGTTAGACCATTATCCTGTTTGCTGTATAAACACTTGAGCGTAAAGACCTTTCCTGAACTATAGAACTGGGTTGATAGGAGTTAACCATGTTTGAAACTGCGCGGTATAACGTTTCTAAACGTCAGTCTTGTTTGGAGATGATTTGAATCATTAATTCTCTAAGGCCTGGTTTGCAACTTCTGTGAGCACAATTCCAGTTTTTCCCCTTCTAGGTGCAACCTTTTACGTGTATCCCGTGTAGTACTACTGTTCTCTTCCTGAATGATATAACGTAATACAGTGGTGCCTCGCAAGACAAAATTAATCCGTTCCACGGCTAATGCCGTCCAGTGAAAATTTCATCTTGCGAAGCATGTTTTCCCATAGGAATGCATTGAAATTTAGTTAATGTGTTCCTATGGGGAAAAAAGTCAGAAACAAAAAAAAATTAAAATAAAGTTATTTACCAGGTACTGTAGACTGAGCCCGGCTCCTCACAGTGCCTTGGTAGCCCCCAAAGGCCGGAAAAAGAGCACCAAACAGCTGAGAGCCTAGACCCAGCAGCGAGGTGGCAGCCATTTTGTGCTCTTCTCCATTCCGCCCCCCCTCCTTGCCTCACAGCTGATGGGCGCTGGGTCTTAGAGGCTTCCCCAGCACCAAAAAAGGAAGGGAAAAGAGCTGGAAATAAAAAATGGTGCTTTTCCCCTGCCCCCGGGGAAGCCTCTGAAAGCAGCGCTTTGCCGCGGGTGGCTGCCCCCTCATGCTCCCCCAGCGCCACTTTCAGAGGTCCCCTGCTAGTCCTCTGATGGTGCTGGGAAGACTGCTGGGGGACCTCTGAAAGCGGCACTGGGTGCGGGGGGGATGCGGGAGGGTGGCGGGCCTGCCCCCCACCCCCATGGCAAAGCGGCAAAGCCTCCCGGGGGCTTCGTCTTGCGAAGCAGCGCCATAGGAACATTTGTCTTGCGAGGCACGACAACCCTAGCCAGACCCATTCGTCTAGCGGGTTTTTCGAGCCGCGAGGCGTTCATCTTGCGAGGCACCACTGTACTAGGATCTGTAAGTGACAGAAGTTAGGAAACCACCCACTGCATGAGTGGAACTGCCTTCATTCCATACAGTAGTACCCTTGGGCCCAAGCCTATTTATCAAAAGACAGTGATTGGGTTATACTTTATACACAGGCCTATTTAGTATGCATTTCAGTTTTTGGAACTAGTAAGTACTCTAAATTGTATATAAAATAGAATAATGCACTTGATGGGAGCAAGATGCTGGCCTGTTGAAAATGCAGTCTTTGACATGGCACATTGTTGTGTATTACCTTATAGGCCATTATGCTCTTTCTATGTTGGAAGATCAATACATGCATATGTACATTTTTAATAGCACAAGGTTTTGGAAACTCTACAGTTACATTTCATTCCACTCCCCACAGATTATTGTAATGGCTTGTCGAGAGTTTGAAATGGGAAGGGTATGTATTAATATTTCTGACTTGTTTGGCAAAGCTAATGTGTTCTAGATGGTAATAAAGTTAAATCTAGACTTCTAGTTGCAATTAGCTTAGTGAACAAAGCTATACATTGCTGATATTACTGAGAGAAATATATTAAAGATGGTTGGTCTTTATATTGTGTCAAATGAAACTGTAACAGACTTTCACAGTGGGTGGATATGCTCAATGTACTAGCTATAGAATGAACTATAGTACTTACCATGGAACTTCGTTAGTGTGTGAAAACCAAATTGGGAAAATGAGGCTTTCAGATTGGTAACTGAAATGCCTGGAGTAAATCTAAAGCTAATCTCCACTAGATCAGAACCCTGAAAATCAGGGTAACCTTATTACTTGTGTCTATCAAGTCCCATTAATTTCAATGGGTATATTCTGGTTTCTGTTTACATTGGGTTTAGCCCTCTGAAAATTTGAGAGTATCAGCAAGGATGACCTTGTTCATTTAAATGCAGTTGTGTATATATTCTTAACACACACACACACACATATATGCTGATTTTAAAATTGTATTTTTTGGAGAACAGAAAAAATGTGAACGTTACTGGCCTTTGTACGGAGAAGAAGGTGTAAATTTTGGACCATTTCATATTTCTTGTGTAAGTATTTAATGAGTGGTTTGATTTATTATTGATTATCTTTAAACATAGTAATACAGTGGTGCCCCGCATAGTGACGTTAATCCATTCTGGATTAATCGTCGCTATGCAGAAACATCGCTAAACGGAATGGAAAAAGCCATAGGAACGCATTAAACTCACCGTTGAGCGAAGTTCCTCCATAGCACCACCATTTTCGCGTCCTCGGTAAGCAAGGGCAGGGCGCGAAAACACTTGCGGTGGCCATTTTAGGCATCCGGCGGCCATTTTGGAACCGCCAATCAGCTATTTATAAAAACATCGCAATGCGAAGACCGATCATTGCAGTGCAATGTTTTACCCATTAAAACATCGCAATGCGATCGCATTAGCGATCTAAAAAATTAGATCGCTATGCAGATTCGTCGTTAAATGGTGCACTCGTTATGCGAGGCACCACTGTAATTAGATGCTTTGAAATAACTACAGTACTCCCAATACTTTGGAGTTTCAAAAAGTGACTTATTAATTACTTGCAGTAATTTGAGTTTTTACACTGGTAATACCGTAACAAGTCAAGTCAATGCATGAGTTGTAAATTCAGGTTTGTAAGTTTGTACTGACATAACAATGTTGTGTATAAACTCAAGTAAATGTGCAAGATCAGTAGTAGTGTGATGGAGGCCAATTTTGAGGATTAGTAAGAATGGAACACACATACAGTGGTGCCTTGACTTACGAACGTCCCTACTTACGACCATTTCAAGTTATGACCAGCTCCGGCTGCAAAATTTTGCTTCTACTTGTGACCAGAGCTTCCACTTACGAACAGAAAAAGGCAGGGGAAAAAGGCAAGAAATTCAAATTTCTAACTGTAGGTGGCGACGAGGCTGCTGCTTTGTAGCTCTTTCACCCCAGGAGTTAGTGTGGGATCTGAGGAGGCTTGGGACTGCCTGGCTTCTGCTTTTGAGTGAGTGTGTGTGTGTTTGCAGGGAGGCTTGGGACTGTCTGGTAAGGTAAGGTGCTATTTTCTGCTTTTAAAAAACTGTTCTGAATGTTTTTGCAGCGTGGTTTTGAGGTGGAAGGGTTTATGTTTCTGTAGTGTGATGGGTCCTGGGGGGTTTGTTGGTTGGTTGGGTCCTCCCCCATTTTTGATGGGTCTTGGGGGATTTGGTTGCTTTTTGGGGGTTTTCCCCCATTTCTGATGGGTCTTGGTTTGGGTCTTGGTTTTTTTTGCCTCCCCCCATTTCTGATGGGTCTTGGGGCGTTTGGTTGCTTTTTGGGTCTCCCCCCCCATTTCCGATGGTCTTGCATGTTTTTTCCTTTGTTCTCTTTGCATTTCCAACCTGGTCCCTTTGTTTTCTGTGCATTTCTGATATGATCCGTTTGTTTTACGTGCATTTCCGACCTGGTCCCTTTGTTTTCTGTGCATTTGCAACCTGCCCCCTTTGTTTTCTGTGCATTTCCGACCTGGTCCCTTTGTTTTCTGTGCATTTCCAACCTGCCCCTTTGTTTTCTGTGCATTTCCGACCTGCCCCCTTTGTTTTCTGTGCATTTCCAACCTGCCCCTTTGTTTTCTGTGCATTTCCGACCTGCCCCCTTTGTTTTCTGTGCATTTCCAACCTGCCCCTTTGTTTTCTGTGCATTTCCGACCTGCCCCCTTTGTTTTCTGTGCATTTCCAACCTGCCCCTTTGTTTTCTGTGCATTTCCGACCTGCCCCCTTTGTTTTCTGTGCATTTCCAACCTGCCCCTTTGTTTTCTGTGCATTTCCGACCTGCCCCCTTTGTTTTCTGTGCATTTCCAACCTGCCCCTTTGTTTTCTGTGCATTTCCGACCTGCCCCCTTTGTTTTCTGTGCATTTCCAACTTGTATTAGCTACCTAATCAAGTAAAAGTGGTTTGAACAAACACTTTTTAAAAGGTTTTTTAAAAAACTGCACTAAAAGTCCTTAAAGGACTGCAACAAAGGATGCAAAGCATTAGGGAGTTCCATAAGTATGGGGTTGCCACTGATAAAACCCAACCTCTTGTACTCACCAGTTACATAATCTATATATTTACAGTGGTGCCTCGCTTAACGAGCGCCCGGTTAACAACGAATCTGCATAGCGATTTGGTTTTTGCGATCGCAAAAGCGATCGCATTGCGATGATTTAAATGGTAAAAATCGCTTTGCGATGATCGGTAAGCTGTTTCGCTTACCGATTTTCACATAGCGATGTTTTTAGAACAGCTGATTGGCGGTTCCAAAATGGCCGCCAGATTAAAAAAATGGCCGCCTGCTGTGTTTTTGCCCGGATTCCTCGCTTACCAGGCAGCGAAAATGGCCGCCGTATGGAGGATTTTCGCTTTAAGGTGAGTTTTTTGCCCATAGGAACGCATTAAATGGGTTTTAATGCATTCCTATGGGCTTTTTTTCCACATAGCGACGAATCTGTATAGCGACGATTTTTGCTGCAAGGATTATCGTCACTACGTGGGGCATCACTACATGTGAGCTGTTTGTAAGCTTTTGTATGAACATTTGCAGAATAGTGCCAGTAGTAATGTTCCAACTGCTCTGGGGTACTTGGATCCAGCTGACTAATGAAGGAGCTTTAGCTTTGTAATGTTTCACATTTTTTTAAATGTTACATCTTCCTAAGGACTCAGTTTCATTTTTTTCCCTTTAAAAATAGGAGATTCAAATTCATTTGTCATCTTTCTGTGAATATAGTAATTCTCATTTCTGCTGCTGTTTAAGTTATTTGTATGGTGGAATATAGTTTTTTTTTTACATTTCTATTTATTAACAAATATTTCCTTTTGTTTAGGAAGCTGAACAAGTCAGAACAGACTACTATATTAGAACCCTGCTACTTGAATTTCAAAATGTAAGTAGAGAAAAGTTCTTCCAGTCAGGTTAAACATAATGGAATTATTTTGATACTTAAAAAAAAAGTCAACATTTTGGCTGTTTTCGACATGTTTATAATGTAGATGAATGGCTTTCAATATGTGATAAGTGGCAAATGTTTATTTTGAAATTCATAAAACTGTTTTGCTTAGGATAATACAGATCACTTTGTCAACGCTATGTTCTTTCCCCATTCTCATGGCTAGAAGGAGCAGTGGACCATTGTAACTGCCAATTCAGCATAGGTGAGGAACTCCCATCATTCCTTACCTTGGTCATACTAGTGAGGGATGATGGGAGTTGCAGTCCAGTGACCTCTAGAGAAATACACATTCCTACTCTTAACTGTGTACAGTGGTGCCTCGCATAGCGATCGCTCTGTTTAGCAATGAAATTGCTTTGCGACACGTTTTTTGCAATTGCAAAAGCGATTGCTTTGCGATGTTCCCTATGGGAACCGAGCATCGCAAAGCGACGATTTTAAAACAGCTGATCGGCGGTTTCAAAATGGCTGCCGGGTAAACAAAATGGCGGCCCCGCTGTGTTTAGGGATGGATTCCTCGCTTAAGAGGCAGCGAAAATGGCTGCGCTATGGAGGATCTTTGCTGAATGGTGAGTTTTAAGCCCATAGGAACACATTGAAGGGGTTTCAATGCGTTTCTTTGGGCTTTTTAATATCGCATAGCGACATTTTCATTCTGCAACAATTTTTGCGGAACAAACTAACGTTGCAATGCGAGGCACCACTGTATGTTAAGGCTAGGTTTAGTAGCTGAGATAGCCCCATGTAACAGTTTGTAGCCAGGGAAAAAGAGTAACATATCTCTGATGTCTGTATGCCATGGCAGAAATGGAAGAAAAATTCCACCAGCTTGCATTTAATAAACCTGAATGGCTGGTATGGTGGGAGTAGAATAAAAATCATTGACAGCAGGGACTGTTGAGTGAGTGAGCTATTGCATAGACAAGGCTAGATGGTGCTTACAACTGTCAGTCCTAGTGACAACCTGGCATCCAAAAAATACAAATTGACTTTATTTATTTACTTATTTGTTTATTTGTTTATTTGTTTATTTATTTATATCCCGCCCATCTGGTATATTCTACCATTCTGGGAGGCTTGTTTGGCTATCTAACTGTTGCTGACTCATGATTTTCTGATGTAATTCCTTCCTGTGTTAGCTTACAAAGCTTATCTCTTTCTTGATGCACAGTGAACCTCCATTAATGCCCTCTTCAGATTGAGTTTAGGTCTTTAAACTTTTATTTTTAAACTGACTGAGTTATGTTGTGGAATGTGAACTGAATATATGCTGTATTTTAAAAACATGACTTAGTTGCTTCATCTTATTTTATTTTGCAGCAGGTTTCCAAGCTCTTTATAATTAAAGCTTTCACACACATGGGAAGCTAAATTGTGTATCTGATGCTAAATGTCTAAGCTTATACCCGATCTCTTTTAATAAGAATTTCCCTACAATACAACATGATTCTGACAATGTACAGACTATACATTAGAAAGCTGTTTCAAAGTCAAAGTGCTCTGAAAAAGTTTTTTCCCAGTGTCAAAATTTTCCAGTGAAACAATGGAAATTTGCAGCCCTTGGTGGGTTGAGGAGTTCGTAATGCAGGCCCCCATCTCTTGAAGTTATTCACTCCTATTTAATTGAATCAAACTTGTCCATTCATATTCTGTAAAACTGTGACATTGTAAGTAGCCTTTGCTGTTGTATTAACATATTACAACTCTATTTTATTAAGCATTATTATATTATATTAAAGTTCGTAATGCCCCATCTCTTGAAGTTATTCACTCCTATTTAATTGAATCAAACTTGTACATTCATATTCTGTAAAACTGTGACATTGTAAGTAGCCTTTGCTGTTGTATTAACATATTACAACTCTATTTTATTAAGCATTATTATATTATATTAAACATTAAACATTATAGTGAGAAATTTAATTATGGAAATGCTAGAACTGTAGCAAAAGAATTTTAGACTCTTAGGACTCTTCTGTATGTGCAATCAGAAGTATGATGTGTTTGCCTCTTAACTGTGACATTGTAAGTAGCCTTTGCTGTTGTATTAACATATTACAACTCTATTTTATTAAGCATTATTATATTATATTAAACATTAAACATTATAGTGAGAAATTTAATTATGGAAATGCTAGAACTGTAGCAAAAGAATTTTAGACTCTTAGGACTCTTCTGTATGTGCAATCAGAAGTATGATGTGTTTGCCTCTTGAAATATAACCACAGAGGCTTGGAATCTGTAGTATGTGTATGCATGTTTCTTTAAAGTACATTATATTTATCATAATTAATATTTTTAAAAAGTATAATATTTGATATATATTAGCCGAAGACCTGTTATTGTAACTGTGTACAGCATCATCAGCTTGTGCCTGTAAAATTGATTTTAAGTTGATCAGATGTTTCCTGTCCTCCTGTTTGAGGTTCCGAGGCTCCCTAGGACACCCTTTTACCTAGGAGAAAATTTTGGGAGCCCTGGGGTGAGATGGAGTCTTTAACCACCAAAAATCACTGTTGAATTGCTGCCACTGGAATGGGGACCACTGCCAGCAATCTAATAGTGATATTTGGTGATTAAAGGCTCCCAGTCTTGTCCTGAGGCTCCCACAGGCTTTCCCAAGGGGAAAAGGACCTGTAAGGAGTCTTGGAACCTCAAAAAAGGGGATAGGAAGAGTTTAATTTAAAATAAGTTTTTGCCAGCATAAGCTAATGATACGTTCAGCTTATGCCACACAAAATGGCCATTGTTGATTTATTATTTATTTCTTGTTTGTGTGATTTTGTTTGATCTTTTTCATTATATTTTTGCCATACCATCTCTATTACAACATAGTTATTCCACTTTCCTGTGAATATCTACCTGAACTTTGGACATGTAAAGCTATCTCTTTCCTCTTAGGAAACACGTAGAATATATCAGTTCCATTATGTCAACTGGCCTGACCATGATGTTCCGTCATCATTTGATTCTATTCTGGACATGATCAGTTTAATGAGAGAATACCAAGAACATGAAGATGTTCCTATTTGTATACACTGCAGGTATCAAATTAAAATTTCCATGTGATGGTTATTTTAGGAGACTATGGCTGAAATTCTGTTGCCATAAAATGTGCCATGTAAGGCTGATGATGTCATCATTGGGAAGCTGTTGGGGGCTGCAGGAAATTTTTAATTACCAAAAATTGCTGCTGTTGGGATGACTTCATTGACATTAACAACTCTATTGACAACATCAGCCTTACATGGTGTAATATATGGCAGGGCTCCCCAAGGGGCCATATCCCCCCCCCGGTTCAGAATGGTAGTGGTAAAGTTTATATCCTTATATAGGGTAGATAGACCTTTCAACATTTTGGTAAATAATTTTCTTGATGGGAAATTCTTGCTTTCACAAAAATATGAAGTTATTAAATAGTTTATTTTTAAGTAGTGCTTAGTTTTTGTTATATAATTAGAGTAATCAAGAATTTTAAAATGCCATCTGTAAAATACTTGCTGAAGAATAATGCTTCCCATTAATCGCTTCATATATATAAACATAAATGTGAAGTTTTCAATGTACTTTTCAATTACTTATGTGCTTATCTTTTTTCCTTTTATAGTGCAGGGTGTGGAAGAACAGGAGCCATCTGTGCCATAGATTATACATGGAATTTGTTGAAAGCTGGGGTAAGGAGGATTTATAGCAATCAAAATGCAGAAAAACTAGGTCATCTTATGCCAGTGATTAAAGTAGAGTTTTTATAGGAGAGTAAAGATGATGTACTTACTATATGTGTAAAATTGAAAATAATTTGAACATGAGATATAAGTTAATTGGTATCCTTTCACATTTAATTTTCCTTATAGCGATACTGATTTTGTGTGTGCGCTTCTAATTGTTGAAGCTTATTATAGAAACATGTTAAGATCAGCAAATTCAGAAAATTATGTAGCTTTTTGACTTTCGTCTCAAACTTTACTTTTCCCAAAAAAACTTTTTGCTCGTTTCTATCACAGAAGATACCAGAGGAGTTCAATGTGTTTCATTTAATACAAGAAATGAGGACACAAAGGCATTCTGCAGTACAGACTAAGGTAATTGTTTTTAATATAGAAATTCACAATAAGCTGTAGTGTGCTTTTTTTTTTTTTTTTAAAAGAGACTCTTTGAAATATTGTATGTATTGGTATGTTAATATTTGTCTTCATCCTGCAGGAACAGTATGAACTTGTTCATCGAGCTATAGCACAGTTATTTGAAAAGCAACTGCAAAAATATGAAAGCTCTGCAGATTGGAAAATTGCAGATGGTCTGGTATGTGTTTTTGTCACTTTTAAAGTACTGTAAAACTTTAACCACTCCCTGAAGTTGAGTTGTCTTTGTTTTGTTAGTATAGGAAGTAATGTGAAACTGAAAGTCAGTTTTAAAAAAATATTTTCGGGAAAATGTTACATCCCATGAACAGAACTGCCATCTTCATGTCTGACTTCCTTGCTTGTGCAGTAATGAGAAGTAGAAGCAGACGGTTCCAGTGCATGTGAAGAGTATACAGTGTGGCACTCAGGAGCTTGGCATGTGACCACTGAGGTGACGTGACACAAGGGACTTTTCTTCCAATTTTTAATTCTGATATTAGCATAATAGTAGATAACAGTGCATGCATTTGGAGCACACAAAATCTGGTGATTCTTACGGGCAGATTTTTCTGGAGATGATTTCTCAGTTGCTTCATGCCTTGGTAGAAATGGGCCTTAGAACATATACATTTTGGCACAATGCTGGGCTTCTGTTGATAGAATAATAATAAATTCCAGTGGAGACAAAAGCAGATTTGATCCTCACTTCCCTGCAGCCCAAATGCATTCTCAAAACTGATTGTGGAGGTCTGTGAAAGCCTTGGGAACCATTTTTTTGCTTAGCATGGAAGACTCTTGTCAGGAGAGGAGAAGAACAATTCGTTGTGACAATTAGCAAATGCTGGAGTTTGTCCTTTGAATGACAGTTGTTTCCTTCTTTGGGATGGTGCCTCCAGTTTGTACATTAGCTGAATAGCTGAAAATAAAATGAAATGCTTCTCTTCAGTAAGGATGATTGCACTTATGCAATTTACAGTTGGAAATCAAGAAATTGTTTTTGGCAAGTTGTAGTTTAACTAGAATTCAAGTGAAATACTTTCAAATATGTACAGTTGGCTTAGTTATATGTTGAAAAGTTAGTGCATACTTGTTTACCTGTTTTACCAGTACAGTGGTGCCTCGCTTAACGATTGCCTCGTTTAGCGATGAATTCGCATAACGATGTGTTTTTTTAGAAAATAATATGCATCGCATAACGATGTTTCCTATGGGCGATTTTCGCTTAGCGAAGTTTGGGACCATGCTTCGCATAACGAATGCGATTTTAGGTCCCCTGCTTCACTTAACGATGTTTTCTTTCCAATTAAAAAAGTGTCTTAGAAGGGTCAAAAACGGTTCTAAATGCTTGGATTCGTTAGAGGACCCCTTAAGTCATGTGCAAACCTGATTTGGCTTTGATCTGA